GGGTAGTTTTCCAATTACAGCACTAGAGCGCATTATGCGGCATAATGCTCAACGTTGAATGTTCCAACTACAGCAACGCTTCGCACAATCGAGCACTCTCAAAAGTACTGCTCTCGCGTGATACTCGCGACTCTTTAAGTTGGCATTGATCGAAATTTTGTTTATATAGTAATATTATTTAATGTTGAAAAAAATTGTAAGGTTTTCGTTTCGTCGTAGTTTCTTAGAAATAATTAATGCTAATTAAAACTGTGTTAACTTAACGTACTCTGCTGATGCATTTGAAAACTAATTCACGTTCCAATTAAGCTTCAGCATAATTCGGCATTGTGCGCCACTGAGTCGCATTATGTCGCATTATGCTCTGTAATTGCAAAACTACCACTGAGTCGCAATAAGAAATAGCAATGCTACCGAAAAAAAAAATCTTTATCGAGAGCACAATAAAAACGGACCATAAAAAATATTCCACGACAAACAGACAAGCACTTCCTCGGCTGATATCGTTTGTCCCGGTTCACCTTCAGATGTGCAACGAATGGACACTTCGTGACAGCTGACACTGACAGCCCGACAACTTGACTTTTGACATTCGATAACCTCAATCAAGTACATAGATAATTTTTATTTTTTATTGCTCGATAAATTTGAACTATAGGTAATTAATACATCTATACTAATATTACAAAGCTGAAGAGTTTGTTTATTTGAACGCGCTAATCTCAGGAACTACTGATCCGATTCGAAAAATTCTTTCAGTTTTAGATAATCCATTTATTGAAGAAGGCTATCTAACATCACGGTAAGGCCAATACAAGTGGAGCACCAATAAAGAATGTTTCAAAATAGTGGTTTAAATAGCTCCTTAACATTCTATAAATCAAAAATATTGTCACTTTCTACGTAAATTAAGTGGGGGGTAAAATTTAGCGTTATGCCAAAGTAACTATTCCACGCGGACGGAGTCGCGGGCAAAAGCTAGTTTAGTATATATGTAAATTTGAAAATAACCGATTATAGTATTAAAACGTTGAAATACAGACACATTAAGGCAGGATTAGGTTGGCGGTTTCTCTTGGGTTGTTCTCTCTTCCGCAGCAGGCGTCTGTGGCCTGATTGGCAGATAGATGGATGGTCTATCCGAGCATATGGTAAGCTCACACTCATGAATCGAGTATAACCAATATATTGTTACGCGCTGAAAAACATCCACCGAAGTACAAATTAAAATTCTATTTAACACAGAAAACTTACAGATCACTTTACAATTCGTAATTCGCTTCTTCCGCTTCGCTTCAGGTTTTTATTTATGGCATAGATGGATGGACGAGCTCACAGCCCACCTGGTGCTAAGTGGTTACCGGAGCCCATAGACATCTACAGCGTAAATACCGCCACCCACCTTGAGATATGAGTTCTAAGGTCTCGGGCGGCCTGGCGGGCGGCGCCGTAAAGCGGAGACCAACGTCATTGGTCGTCGACTATCGCCTCGACGACCCGTCGGTCGGGCGTCCGCGGGGTGGCGCCGCTTGTCTGGTTGTAGTGTTGACCGCGGGAATCCCCCTACTCTGACCGGGTTTTGACCCCGGACGGAGATCGGAAGTCGGGTCTAAGAGTGTAGGGGAGTCGTTTAGTGGGTGGGCCCTAAAATTCCTTGGGTCCGCGGTCTGCTCCCAACACCTTGCAGATCGTTGAGCCCCACATACCCCGCGTGCCCCCTAGGCGCGGGGACCTCGTAGGAAGTTCGGACCCCAGCCCGTAAAAAAAAAAAAATTACTACCCACCTATTCTGTTAACCTCGAGGGGTTATACTAGATTCACCGAATTAGTAGGTGAGCTCACGGGGCACAAACCTGACGTCGTTGCTAACACTAACTCTAGCAAGGGCAGTGCTTCGCTGAATTATACCACCGGATCGGAAACGCGACCCACTGAGAAGATCCGGCGAGAAACTCAATGGGCTGTGTCTGTGGGTTAATTTACTCGGCGAGCCCTTCGTCGCAAGCGACGGGTTCGACGAGAACGACGACCGGTCAGTTAATCTCAACAGCACAAAGAATGAAGATGCATAGGTGATTCCTGACACAGAGAGACTTAAAAAAAATGCGATCCGAAAATTGAATTATATGCAGATTATTATACATTGCGCGTTTGCGGTTAGATTGCGGGCTCACAATTATGAAGTTTTCATTTATATTAAACGGTGCGTTTACGTAACGTAATTTTTAGATTAATCATGATTCTAATTCAGCGTTTTATGAATATATATAATAACGTCCAAGGTCAGTTTTCAGACACGACAATGTTATTGTTTGAAATGTCGTTGTTTTACGCAATAATTTTAATGCGCGCCTTGAGATAACCAACCGTGATGTAATTGCGGTAGGAATTCGTTTACGAAACATCTGAATAAATTTGAAAACTGCTCACGGACAAAACCCACTGAGTTTCTCGCCGGATCTTCTCAGCGGGTCGCGTTTCTAATCCTGTGGTGGATTCAGCGAAGCACCGCCCTTGCTAGGGCAGATTTTAACAAGATTTTCTGAGGCTGAGCCCCATGAGCTCACCTACCAGTTAGGTGAAGCTAGAATAGTCCCTCCAGATTCAACCGTATAGTCGTTGCAAAGTACCACTGCGCGCCGTCCTTAGTTGTGTGAGTGAGCAATCTGTATACGCGTTAATGTAGTAGGTAGCTACTAGACCGCTCCGTCGGGTACACACACTAACAAAAATGTGTATTTACGATTACAACTACGAATAAAGACGACCCGCGCTCGAGCTTTGCCACAACTATAATTACGTATGCGACACGCGATAACCGAACAAATCATTATCGAAAGTTCACTATCGAAAGCTTATCAAAAACGGAGCGACATAATCTAATTAAGAAAATAAAGTGCGAACAGGACAGAGAAAGGACAAGAAAAAAGGTCAGGATTGCATTCAGGTTTGATGTTTGTGCTAAGCGAATCAACACGTTCATATGAGGCCGTCAGCGCAAAAGTGGCCTAACCCACAATTTTTCATAATCACGCAAAGATGCTTAATGCAATTTAAAATATAATAAAAAATTTGATGCAAAACCGGCCTATCCATAGTTTCGCCTATAGATAACAGATGGCTTTTCAAGCATAATTTTTGCGCCTATTGTTTTTTTGCCTACTCAAATTCAAATTCATGAAAACTTAAACCTCATTGCTCCATAATAACTATGGTCACTTTTGCGCCGCGACGGCCTCATATATCTGTTCATACGTTCTGATAATTTTATAGTAGGTATGCCTTGCGCATGTTACAAATATTTACCAGCCAAAAAAGACGCGAGCTTTTGACGCATACATAAACAAAACGTTGACTGTCCTCAAGGAGAAAAAATTACAGCTGATTTTTGTGGCGGTAGCTATTATTATACGAGTAGAACACAAGATATTTGACAGACGGCTGAACCTGGCTAACGACATTTTATGAGATAAGCTTACATATATACCTAGAAGTTCCGAATATCAAAATTTGGTAGCTCACTAAGTTTCTCGCCAGATCTTCTCAGTGGGTCGCGGTTCGGGTGGTAGATTCAGCGAATCACTGCTGTTACTAAGGCCAGTGTTAGCAAATTCGCCAGGCTGAGCCTCTAGAACTTACCTATACGTTGATTCTAGTAGGTATAACCTTTCGAGGTTGCTAGAATGGGTAGCCAAAAAAACATATGGACCGTCGGACTACCGAGCAATATCATGCTCGGTGGAAGATCTTCCCTTTGTTTTTAGCCCCCGAAATTTCATACGTTTTTATTTTATTCACTGATGGTAGGACCTCCGCACGAGTACGTACCACCACCCTGCCTATTTCTGCCGTGAAGCAGTAATGCGTTTCGTTCTGAAGGGTGGGGTAGCCGTTGTAACTATACTGAGTCTTAAGAACTCATATCTCAAGGTGGCAGCATTTATGTTGTAGATGTCTATGGTTCCGGTAACCTCTTAGGTAGGCTATGAGCTCGTCGACCCATCTAAGCAATAAAAAAAATCAAATAGAAATTCCAAACTTTATTTAAGACGTTTTATAAATTTGATCCCATATACTAATTCGAGGAGCGTATGTGTAATGGGCATTAACATTTTGTTTTTTCTTTAATTGCTTAACCAATTTGAGGAATAGACTAGCTGATTAAGAAAAAACAATCTCTGATGAAAACTAATATTTAATTTAATGGAAGCTGAGGGTACAAAGAGCCACGAAGGGCTTTCAAGGACACGACCTTTTGCAATGAAGTATTCGACTAAGAAGCAGAAGAATTAAAGGGGATTGCCCACTCTCCATAGTGTGCTAGGCCCAAGATGGACATCAAATATTACTATAAAAATATACTGATTCAAATTCTTAAATGTATTGGATATCTAAAAAATATATTGAAATTGACGCCACTATTATAAAAAATATAATAAAAATAAAAACTCGTTTTGAGGTTAATTTTCTATATAAATAAGTGTCGGATTGTGAGATACTTCAAGAACTTTTCTTTTCTTAATGTTTAAGATGTTCCTAATGTATTTTTATCCAATAGGGTATAAAAACACACTTAATTCTTTAAATATCTATATTTTCTTCATCTTCATACACAATTAGTATCATCTAAAAATAGCAAAGGAGAGCATATACACGGTTTTAAATCTCGGTCAGGGTAAAACCACAATTCACACAATGTTTNCCTAAAAAAAAAAAAAAAAAAAAAAAAAAAAAATCGTACTTTAAATGGCAATGCATTAATTCTCATTCGCGAAGTGATAAGTATTAATAATAAGTAATAATTATAAGTATTATTAAATAATAATAATTTATTTGGATGTACGTTGCGAGAAACATGAAACACGAAAAAACAAAAAAAAATTAAGCATAAACAATGAGTAACGCCTTTTCGTTTTGAATAGCAATCTACTTTGATTACGTTTTGCTGCGATAGAAACACAATAAGTCTTCATTTTTAAATCTAAACTTTTGTTTTACAGAGAACATGGCGGACGATTCCGTCCAATTACCACAGGAGCAGCGTTCGTCGAGCGAGAGCGATAATTTTGAAAAAATCGACTCCGATGAAGGACGAAATGTGAGTTTAATATTTTAAGTGACAAGCACAGATAATACACTATATCGAGGGTGCAAGGATATTTGGTATGACATTTCGCTTAACACGTGACATTTAGGTATCTTTGTAAATAGAGGTGCCTTTTATTTGGTATTAGCATCAATAGTTCGATGTTTTTAATTGAACTTCAATTAAGTTTACTCCATTCAAATAGCTGAAGAAGTTTTTTAGTTATTTATGATTTTCCAAATTTTAAACTTTAAATCTTCTTTATTTAAAATCAATGCTAACTTTTTTCTTTTTTTTATTGCCTAGATTAGTGGACGAGCTCACAGCCCACCTGGTTTTAAGTGGTTACTGGAGACCATAGACATCTTCAACGTAAATGCGAAATGCAAACCAAAACGAATTTCTGCTTCACGGCAGAAATAGGCAGGATGGTGGTACCAACTCGCCCGGACTCACAAGAGGTCCTACCATCAGTAATTACGCAAATTATAATTTTGCGGCTTTGATTTTTATTACACGATGTTATTTCTTCACCGTGGAACTCAATCGTGAACATTTGTTAAGTACGTATTTCATTAAAAAAATTGGTAACCGCCTGCGGGACTCGAACACCCCGTGCATCGCTACATACGAATGCACTGGACGTCTTGTCTTTTAGGTCCATTACAACATTACATTACTTACATTACAGTACAACTGTAAAAACTGAGACCTAAGTACTCATATCTCTAGATAGGTGGTGGCATTTAGATGTCTATGGGCTCCGGTAACCACCTAACACCAGGTGGGTCGTGAGCTCGTCTACACATCTAAGCAATGAAAAAAAGAAATAAAAAAAACATAATAACCATAACTTTTACGGTTTAATCTCGCCTTTATTTTATTTTGATATTTGCCTATATAAGTATGTGTTTGATTCCAGGTAGAGCCTACATTTATTGTCGGCGATGAATCCGATCCGGGACTGGACGACGGGCCGGCCCACGAGGGGAGAGACTTATTCCCCAACGCCCCTCCAGCGAACATCAGGAGGATGTTGACTCCAGCTCAGCAGCTAGCCTTGGCCGAGAAGAGGAGTCGACTAAGGTGAGTTGCTGAGAATATCTCAGTTGCTTTACTGTTTTTTTTTTCTTCCTACCTATGCTGATAGCCTTGAGAGGCTATATCAGCGTTATCGGACGATTAGGTGAGCTCACGGGGCTCAAACCTGGCGAATTTGCTAACACGGGCCCTAGTAAGAGCAGTGCTTCGCAGAATCTACCACTGGATCGGAAACGCGACCTACTGAGAAGATCCGGCGAGAAACTCAGTGGACTGTCTCTTAGTTTACTCGTCAAGCCCTTCGTCGCAAGCAACGGGTTCGACGAGCACGATGACCGGTGATTGAGGTACCTAAAGGCACCGTTAGTGGATCGGGAGGATCCGAAATGACGTGTACTTTACTGATGATATGTACAGTGTGTCCACTCAATTCGTACTGCGCTGACGCTATGATCTTGAAGATGGTCTTGGCCTCCGACAATAAACCCCACCATTTATCCCCGCGCTACGCAACACCTGGTCAATCCAGCACTTGGAGCTCACGTAAATCCCCTTCCATAGCGTCAGACCAGCTACTTGGGCCTCCCTACGAGGCTTCGTCCCTCCGGTACACCGATCGTACGACTAGTACCAGACCAGACCATTAATACGGTTACTTCCCGGTGGTACTGATTGGTGGCTTCTTGTGAGCCCGCACTGCTAGCTACCGCTATTAAAGCCAAAGTATCAAAAAAATCATCAAAATCGCTTCCAAAAGGAGTGATGTAGCACGTATAAAGAATATAGTAGAATCGGGATACTTGGGGTTGACATTTCGAGCGATGTCCAGTTTCGGAGTCATTTGGAAGGCAAAGCCAAGTTGGCGTCCAAAATGATGGGAGTCCTCAACAGAGCGAAGCGGTACTTCACGCCTGGACAAAGGCTTTTGCTTTATAAAGCACAAGTCCGACCTCGCGTGTAGGACTGCTCCAATCTCTGGGCCGGGGCTCCCAAATACCAGCCTCTTCCATTTGACTCCATACAGAAGAGGGCCGCTCGGATTGTTGATAATCCCATCCTCACGGATCGTTTGGAACCTCTGGGTCTGCAGAGGGACTTCGGTTCCCTCTGTATTTTGTACCGTATGTTCCATGGGGAGTGCTCTGAGGAATTGTTCGAGATGATACCGGCATCTCGTTTTTACCATCGCACCGCCCACCACCGGAGTAGAGTTCATCCATACTACCTGGAGCCACTGCGGTCATCCACAGTGCGTTTCCAGAGGTCTTTTTTGCCACGTACCATCCGGCTATGGAATGAGCTCCCCTCCACGGTGTTTCCCGAGCGCTATGACATGTCCTTCTTCAAACGAGGCTTGTGGAGAGTATTAAGCGGTAGCGGTAGGGTCCATGGGTGACGGTAACCACTCACCATAAGGTGGGCCATATGCTCGTCTGCCTACAAGGGCAATAAAAAAAAAATACAGAACCTCATCTTTTCGAAGTTCTGACTGTCGGTTTACTAATTAGTAACACGCTCTCGGTCATTCTCTGTCAACTGTTTTTTTTTGCCTACCCGCCAATAGCCTCAAGAAGCTTTGCTTTGGGTGGCGGACGAACTCACGGGGCTCGGCCTAATAGAACTTGTAAACACTAGCCCTAGTAAGAGCAGTGCCTCGCAGAATTTCCCACCAGATCGGAAACGCGACCCACTGAGAAGATCCGGCGAGAAAATCAGTGGGCTGTGTATATGGGAAGAAGGCGATAATTTCTAATTTGTATTTATGGAACGCATCTAGTATTTTAAATTATCCGTTTAGTAAAGTTCACGGCCACATTGCAACGTCACTTTGATGTTGGCGGTAAATAACACTTTTTTTGGTGTGGATAGAATTTGTCTTAGTATTAATTCAATCGTCGTGGTAGATTGACGGAAAAATATTTTATTTTCAAAGCGTGTACGTGTGTTTGTATGAATACAAATAGATTTCGGTTTAATACGTTTTCTGTCTCTACAATTAATGTCAATTTGTGAGTAAAATTACTTAAGTGATGTGCTACCGTGATTTGAAGTTTGAAGTGTCAAAATATTTCGCGCCATTTCATTAAAATTGAAAAAAGTGTTGGAATTTTTATCGTTTCGTTGTTTTTGTTATGTTGTAGTCCTGATTAGTGGTGTGATGTTTATTTTTGAATATTAACGATTTTATATACGGCTTATTAAGTTTATTAGGAGTTAAATATTTTCGCTTTATATGTCAATGTGATCAAAATATTTCTAACGTAGCTTGAGTACCTACGAAATTATTGACCAAAAAAAAAGTCGGATATTATTGTTAAATATCTGATAAGTTATGCGAATGTTCCAATATCCGTTTGATTAGAACATTTACAGAACCGAATTTTCTAAATTTATTTACGCTTGTGACGCTTAGGTAGGTATATAAACCGAAACACATTTAACATGTAAATTATATTACTCATATAAATATTCATTTATTTTATCAAAACCAACTTACGCTCTTTAAGATGAAACTTTGAAATTTAATTTTCGTCTATTATTTGTATTTCAAACAATGTGTTGAGAGATCTTTTTTTTTTAGTTTTTTTTTTTTATTAGATGGTAGGATTTTTTTATTATTGGATGAGCTCTCAGCCCACCTGGTGTAAAGTGTTTACTGGAGCCCATAGACATCTACAACGTAAGTGCGCCACCCACCTTGAGACATAAGTTCTAAGGTCTCAAGTATAGTTACAACGGCTGCCCCACCCTTCAAACCGAAACGCATTATTGCTTCACGGCAGAAATAGGCAGGGTGGTGGTACCCACCCGCGCGGACTCACAAGAGGTCCTACCAGTAAAAAGTCTGCAGTCGAAATTGGAATAAAGCCTAACTCTAACTTGACCAAGTGTGCTTCCAGAGATCATTTTTGTCACGTATCATCCGACTTTGGAATGAGCTCCACGGTGTTTCCCGAGCGCTATGACATGTCCTTCTTCAAACGAGGCTTGCGGAGAGTACTTAACGGTAGACCGAGCGGCTCGGTTCTGCTCCTGGCATTGCTGAAGTCCATGGGCGACGGTAACCACGGTGGATTATTATCGATATTGCGTTATTGTTGAAGGGCCTATGTAACAGTATCTTAGGACTACAGCAACTATAGTAACTACAGTAACTATACTAGACTAGGCAAATTATATTTTTGCGGGTTTGATTTTTATTACACGATGTTATTTTCCTTCACCGTGGAAGTCAATCGTGAACATTTGTTAGGTACGTATTTAATTAGAAAAATTGGTACCCGCCTGAGATGCGAACACCGGTTGCATCATTCAACACGAATGCACCGAACGTCTTATCCGTTAGGCCACGACGACTTCAAACGCTTTCTTCATTACTGAAGGTCGTGTCCCTGAAACTTGACCGTGGCCTGTCTCGTGAGATGTTTCTACCTCCTCCGGGCCTCAGCTTCTCGAATGGCGGTCGCGATTGGCAGCCCAGTTAGGGTGGTTGATCACACCGGCGGCTAGTTGATCGGCCGCTGGGTCTCTCTCCTTCTACTTTGCTAATTCCTATCGCGCAAGACATTGCCCATCTGTTGTATATACGCAAATTTATATATTTTTTGCCTTACCGACTAACAAAGACTTCCCAATATCAAAGTTCAAGTCTAAGTGACGTTTAGATACTTACGTATTTCGAAGTAATGTACACGACACGAAATGTGAACACTGAAGGTCAAATGTTTAATGTTTTATTTGGAAGTTGCATAAATTTAATGTTTAAAAACTAATTATCGAGTTAGCGTTTATGGCGACGAGAAAATTTATTTATTTATTTCATTTATTTATTTGGGAAACCGATAGTACAATACAAACGTAATATTTACAAAAATAGCTAAAACAATAACCAAACATGTTTCCACCATCAAAATCGCATATAAGTAGAAAGTGAATAAAGGAAGAAAAGAAAGAGAAATTTAGAAATTTACACAAAAAAACAAAAGCTACACAATACGCACATATTATTATGTACACCAACTTACACTATAAAACAAAGTAATACTCATCGAACTAAAACCTTATAAATATTTCAAAATAGCATTTCTATACAAGTGACAAACAAAACATGTCAGCATTAGAGAACTTAGTATCATACAACCTACAAGATCCGTCGAGACATGGACATGTCGAAGGTCTCTTTAGAACCCGCGGAAACAAGACTACATTTAAATGAAATTTTGGAAAGAAGATAGCTCGAATCAATCTCATTATTTATTATCTATATATTAATACGTGAAACAAAGGACAGAGGAGTATGAAATTTCCCACACTTATAGAGAATATAGAGAAGGAGTGCAGAATGTTAATTATTTTTTAAATTATGCATTAAAAATTCATTAAATCAATAAATAAATTATGACACACACTACCTACCATGTATTTGACACACACGCATGCATACCTACTCTTTTGTATACCACGCTTTTTTTTACAATAAAATCATTTTTTCTTACACTAATTTTAATTTAAATTTATTAAAATTTATTTTCTATTTTTTAGTTGGATTTTCTCTAAAAGCGTATTTTGTTTATTTTTTTAAAATAATATTCTTTTTTTTTGTTAGTCCCCGATAGCTCTACTATGAGGTGTTTCAGGATTATCCATTCTTTCTGGGACACCCTGTATACAAGTTCCGAACAACATTCGGACCGTCGCGGTCGGTCTACTGAGTAATGTCACCCACTCGGCGGAAGATCTTCCCTGCGGCGCTTATTCCCGCAGTTTTAATTAATAATTCGACGAAGAGTTTATATTTATCCTAGACTTCAGCTCGTAATAATATTGTATCTTTTTATTGCTTAGATGGGTGGACGAGCTCACAGCCCACCTGGTGTTAAGTGGTTACTGGAGCCCATAGACATCTACAACGTAAATACGCCACCCACCTTGAGATATAAGTTCTAAGTTCTCAGTATAGTTACAACAGCTGCCTCACCCTTCAAACTGAAACGCATTACTGCTTCACGGCAGAAATAGGCAGGGCGGTGGTACCTATCCGTGAG